ATATTAAAGGCTTTCCCTTCCACCTCTTCTGTCTCCCACACTGAATGGGAGGCTCAAGCCAGTGCAACAGAAAGAATAAGAAGTAAAATCATGAACGTCAAAAACTCTTTGCAGATGACATGTTTTTGTACATGTAGAAAATTCAAAAGAATCTATAAACTATTGGAATTAATAAGTGAGTTTAACAAGGTTCCTGGATACAAAGTCAATAAAAATCAATTTATCAACATATATTTATAGATTACAAAATTTAAAATATCATTTACAGTAGCAGAATCAAATGGCTATAAATAAATCTAATGAAAGATATATAAGACTTCTACATAGAGTGCCATAAAACGTTTTTAAGAGAAATTTGAAAACCCAAATAAATGGAAGGATATGTTCATGGATTGGAAGAATCAATACTGCAATATGCCATTCTCCTCACATTTATTTATAAATACAATGCTGTCCCAATCAAAATCACAGTAGATAATTTGTGGAAATTGATGAACCAATTTAAAAATGTATATGGAAATTTAAAGAGCACGGAATAGCCAAGATATTCATGAACATGAATGAGGTAAGAGGAATTAATCAATTGGATATTAATTCTTAATATAAGCTACAGTAATTAAGACAGTGTGATAATGATGTAAGGATAAATGAAACAATACAATATGTGGAAACAGACCTATGCATATCCCGACACTTGATTTATGACAAAGTTGACACCGTAGGGCAATGGGAAAAGATGAAATTTAAATTCTACATTACACAATACACAAAAATCAATTCTGAATGGTTATAGATCTGAATGTAAAAAGTAAATGCATCAAAGATTATAGAAAACAGCACAGTAGAATGTTTTAAGCTTTAAAAGATTGGTCAATTGGACTACATCAGAATTAAGAACTTCGGTACATCAAAAGACACTGATAAGAATGAAAAGGCAAGCCAGAGTGGGAGAAGATATTTAAAACATTTAACTGTCAAAGGACCTGAAGCTAGAATTTATTAAGAATTCTAAATCAACAAGAAAGACAATCTACCAGAAAAATGGGCTAGACCTAAACAGGAATATCACCAAAGAGGCTAGCCACATATCCGATTAACATTTGAAAAGGTGTGTCCTTACTAAACTCATTAGAAATCAGGAATGAAAAGTTAACCCACTACTACATACCTTGCAAATGGACTTAAGTGTGAAAGACTAGCAATTCCATGTGAAGGCAAGAAGGTGGAAAGATGCAATCTCTCATACTGCTGGTAGAATTGTAAACTGGTACAACTACTTTAGAAAACTATTTGGTAGTATCTACTAAAATTTAATAGAATACTATGACCCAGCAATTCCAGGTATATTCCATCAGAAATGTGTGCACATGTGAACCAAAAGGCATGTATAAGAATGTTTATAGCAATATTACTTATAGCAGCCCCAAACCAGTAACAACTCAAACATTAAACAACAGTAAACAAGTAAACAAATTTTGTTATTCATACCATAGAATACTATATAAGGAAAAAAACTACTGTTATATGCAACAATATGGATGAATCTCACAAAAGAAGCCAGTCACAAAATATGCCTACAATGTGATTCCATTTATATGAAATCCAAAAAAAGAAAAAGCAAACTTGGTTACTGTTGAGGAGCGGAGAGGGGCTGAGGACGGGGTGACATAGGTACTCCTGGAGTGATAGCAATGTTCTACTTCTTTGACTTGGGTTGTGGTTACACACGCTCAGTTTGTGGTACTTGTACACTTAAGATTCATTCACTTTTCTGTGTATTTGCTATGCTTCAATTAAACAGTTTAAAAAATTCAGTTGGATTTTCTAAAAAAGGATACAAAATTAATAGCTAAGGAAAAATAATCATAGCTTGATGAGGCAAAATATCAGTGTATAATACTCCTTAGAGCTCCTTTCTTTCCTTGGAGGTGGCCTCGTCTTTTCTCAAGCTCCTTAAAGGCAGGGAACATTCATCCTTATATTTATCTATATATAGCACCAGGTACCCAGAACAGTGTCTGCAAGAGCTCCTCAATAAATGTTGTAGAATGACTAGGAATTTGATTTTTAGTCAGTTGGTCCTGGGATTGGGAAGAAAAACATTGAGTGGGGGAAGGAATCAGAGGCAGCACAAGCAAACTTTCTTAGTGATGTTATAGTGTTCTCTATCCAGACCAGGCTAACCATTTATTGCTATTAACTTGAAATAAACTTTTTAACCTGATATACTTTTAAAGTGAGTATTATTAGAACCTACACATAATGTATTGTTAGAAATGTTGGTTGGATATATTTACTAATTGGAAAATAGACTTTGTATCTATTCTGGATCTGTTTCTCAATGTTTAGTCTTTGTATTATAAAACCTTTGGTTGTTTCACTAATCTGGTTTTTCTTCCCACAATTTTTGATTAGGTGGTATAATTATGGGGAAGAAAAATGGTGTAAGGGGGCATGTGTAGCACATGTTTAGTATTTGTCTCTCAATACATATTTACATTTATCTATATATGGATGTACATATATATTCGTATGTTTGGGCAAAGTTTGGATAGGTAGTGATGGTGGATAGAAGGTTAACAGAAAGGGCAGATGTCTTAGTTATACAGTTTGGTCAGAAGGTAAACTGGCAGAGAATTGAAAATTCTATTATAACACACAAAAATTGTTCTCCCAGTCACGTAATCATTCCACAAATATTTATTGAATTCCTTAAGTTTGCAAAATATTGTTCTGGGCAATACAATGGTGAAGAAATCAGATGTAACCCCTGCTCTCATGGAGCTTACACTCTAACATGAGAAACAAATATTAAGCAAACTACACAATTATTTCATGACAATTGTAATGAATGCTATTGCCGGACCTGCTATTGAAGCATATGGATTACATGAAGAATGAGAGTATGTAACCAGGGGATCAAGAGGAAAGTGGTTTGAACTGACTTTTAAAGGAAAAAGACTTAACTGATGATGATGGAGAATGGGAGGGGCATAATTCCAGGGTATAACGTTGAACAACTGAGCAAAGTCTTGCTGATAGGAAGGAATACTGTATGTTCAAGAACTGAAAAGGTCGGCAAACTAGTGCAAAGTGAACAACAGGGACAGTGGCCTTGAATAGGGCTGGTGCGGTAGGCAGGGCAAAAGGCATGCAGAGACATGTAAATTGTGTTAGTAATTTTGTTCTTTATCCTAATAATTGTAGTATGTCATTAAGGGTCTTAAGTACCCACCTCAATGTAAGAAACAGGCTGGTATTGCAGAAAGAGTATTGGTCTGGGAAATGGACCTAGAGAGTAAGGACCACAAGCCCTTGAGGAAATTACTAACCTGAATGGACTTCCTCATGCATAAACTGTGGTTTTGGACTAGATGAGCACTAAGTTTTCCTTCAACTCTAAAATTCTATGAATACCTCTGTATATTCAAAGCCAAAATGTCAGTTACAGATCACGTGATTTCTTGGTGAACTTTTCCCATCTCTAAAAATGAACACTTTTAAGATACAATGATGAGCCATAATTTAATCTATGTATTGGTGATAGGACTGAAGTTTGATTATCAATCTCAAAGGCTCGGAAGTCTTAAGGTGGAAAGTGGGGAAGGTAGTAGTAACCAGAAGCAAAATAAGAGTAATCAATGTTTATAAGGACTAGAAAAGTAGACAAAAGAGGACACGATGGGGAAATTCAGCTCACCAGAAACATTTACCTTAATGGCAGCTAATATCAGTCAAAAAGAAGCTTAGGGTGGAATGGGATTGTTTACCAGCAAGGCCCATCTTCACCAGTACCTCCGCATCTCCTTCCCCCATCATTTTTGACAAGTATAATTGACCTTCCTCAAGCTTGTGTAAAAAGCGTTATGCAAACAAGTTTCAAGCATCCCTAATCCTTGAGATTTGCTCAAATGAAACCCTTTATATTTAAAAACTCTGGAGCGACAAGTGAAGGCAACTCTATACTCTGAAGGACAAAACTGTGTATGGGCGTTTGGGGGGAGGGGCTCGTAGAACTAACTGGGTCGCTTAATTCCAAAGTGTTAATGCTAAAAGGAACCTTGGAGTAGCCTTTAAAGCACACTCCCAATTTTACAGATGAGAAAACAGAAACTTTCGAGATGAGGTGCCTTTCCCAAGGTGACACTAAGTGGAGGAGCCTAGCCACAGTCCGGGGGGTCCTTCCATGACCCTCGGTGGTCTCTCAGGTCTCTCTTTACCTGTGAAGCCGCAGCCCTCTTCCCGGCCCGGAGGCGTGTACAGGAGGCCAGACCCGGGGCGGCCTCAGAATGCCCGGTTGCGTGCAGCTCTCCTCCCATTTCGAGGCCTCCCGCAGGTGCTGGGGCGGGCACCCGGTGCAGGGTAGGCACAGCGCCCGCCACGAGCCTCAGGCGCTGGGAAAAGCGCAAGTTCTTCTGCATAACCGAAGAGACGTCAAAACAGGCCGGTGCGAAGTGGTCTGAGCAGATGACAGAGCGGTCATTGCCGCCGTACCAGTCGGCGCGGCAGCCCCGCACGAAGCGATCCCACAGCAGCCGCACGGCCCGATCCTTGGGGAAGCGGAACAGCGACTTCCCAGATTTGGTGGTGTTGCCGCAGTGGGCGGCCACGCAGCGGGCCGGCATGGCTGCCGCCTCAGGTGCGGCGGAGCCGGGCTCCCCGCCCTGCGCACGCGGGCACGCTGCTCGCGGCGGCCTCGGCCAGGCGCGTCCTTCTTTCACCTGTCGACCCCGGGTCCGGCCTGTTTCCTTCCCTACCTCTGGTCGCCGGAAGTGTTGGACTGAATGGGAGGGCTCTGTGATAGCTTCCTCCTCCTCCTCCTCCTCCTCCTCGCAATCCGCCGCCGCGAGCAAGTGGACTCAGGCAGAGGGATACAAATTTCGCGCGGGCCGCGCTGAAGTGGACCGTAAAGAGGAACGGACCGGAAGTGGTAGTTGTCATAGCCACCGATGTGGCCAGCCTCTTCCTCATCTTATCTTCCTCCCAATATTCCCGCTCGGTTTTTATGAAGCCGTGAGAATAGAACGAGGAAGTGCTGACGCATTGGGACCCCAGCAATAAATCCAGAGGTTACAACGACTATGTTGGCCGGTTAATTTGGGAGAGGACCAGACCGGAAATGGTAGTTTCCATGGTAACCCCTGAGCAGGTTGCCTAGGAGATGACCTCTTTTGATCTCTTTGAATCTCCGCTGTAGCGTCACCTCCAAGGCACATCTAAACAGATCCTGGACTGTCTCCTGCCATGATTCCCGGGAAATACCGATCTATTTCTGGCCGGGCTGCGAACAACGTAGGTTGGCCTCCTGCTTTCTCTTTCTTTCCATTGGCATCGTCTTTTCTGACTGGCGTCTTTGTCCTAGGTGATGGGCTGTATTTGGGGGACCGGACCGCTGGGTCTACTCAAGCTATTGTTTGACAGAGCCTTGAGGTTCATGGGCTGGAGCAAAGAACCTGGAGAGTATTTAATATTGTATGGGTTTTCAGTGTCCTGTCCAAGATCTGGGCTCCCCAGAAGGTGGAGCTGGTCTGCTGTGAAAGGCTCAGGTTCATTTAAATTCCTTTAACCAGTCAATTACTTTTCTTCTTTTTTTAATTTTTAATTGGGAAATAATTTATCATTAGACCCTCTCACCTCCTTCACCTGTCTCAATGAGATGGTTATTTAGACCTGCAATGGCAAATGTCGAAAGCCTCAAGTACTAAGTATACAGGGTCAAGTTGCCGCCGACATTTTGGAAAATAAATTAGTGAAATCTTTTAATTCTTAGATACCATTTTATTGTTTTCAGAAAATTTTTAGAACATACTCATTTACTAGACACAAACAAAAATAGAGCATTCTGTTCCATTCTAATTTTTTGTTGTATTTTTGTCTGTGATTTGGGGGGACTGTGTGTGTATGTGTATTTAAGTGAAGAGCAAATTTTATGGTTTAATTTTTACATTTCAGGTGAACTGTGGGCTTCATCTGGTTATTCAAACATCATCGCTTCCTGAAAAAAGCAAAGTAAGATTTAAGCATATTAGTATTTAAATTGAAGATAAATTGTTTTATATTCTATACAAATAGCAGCATGATTTAAAGAGTATGTTCTGAACTGAGAATTTTAGATTTTTTACTTTGTTCTCCAATTTAAAGCTAATTTTTATTTTCTGAAAAAAATAAAACCAAAATTAGCCCTCTTTAAAAAACTTAATGTTACTTGATTACAAGAAATTTTTTGATATTTAAACATTTCTGAAATTAGCATCCTTTTTTAAATTGATGGCATGTCATAGTTTTATTGGGGAAGTTTTTTCTTTCTTAGAAGTGGATAAAGTAATGGTATGTCTTACTACTGATGGCATCTTTGAATTAAACATGATAATTAGGAGGTCATATCTACATATTCCATTTAAAATCAGGGAAGAAAAAATAGGTTTAGCAGTGGAAATATGTTAGGCTTAATGTTATTTAGAAGTTAAGATATGAATGTAAGATTCTTTTTTCCCCAGACTATTTGCCCATGATATTTCTGGCATTTCCAGAATTTCTGGCTTTTGATTTGATTTTTGAGATTTTGAGATAAATATGTTTTTCTTCCCCTTCTTGTCTTACCTCAGTACTCAGACCTACTCACCCACCTCCCACACAACTGTCTCAAGACACAACATGATTTCTCCTCCTTTGACTGAGTTGAACATTTCCAACCATCACAATTTAGTTGTTTCCTAAAAAGTTGTTAAATAGATGTCACTGGACGAACTCTAAAGTGCAGAGCATAGTTTACAGATAACAGCATGAGGCGGGTAAGAAAGGGCAGGAGGAAAGTGGTTGGAAGGACACCATTAGTCAAGCAACAGCTGTTGATTACATTACGTACATATACGAAAACTGTTAACACTTGGAAAATAGACCATTTGATCATCTTGAAATAAACAGTGGTTAGTTAGATTAATTGGAAATATTCTTTTTTTTTTTTTTTTTTTTTTTTTTTTTTTTTTTTTTTTTTTTTTTTTTTTTTGTCTTTTTGTCTTTTTCCGTGTCCGGCAACGGATCGCAACCCTCAGTGTTGCCCCCGTACCGGACCGGGGACCGGCAACGGGATCGCAAGCCTCGGTGTTGCCCCCGCGCCTCGCTCAGCCAGTGAGCGGGAACCGGTCTGCATGTGGGATCCGAACCCTCGGCGGGAGCGCCACCGCGCTTCCCAAGCGGCGCACTATCCAGTGCGCCACCGGGCCGGCCCCGGAAATATTCTTTGTTATAATTGAACATAATGGATTTCCTCCAAAGGTTTCCTAATTGTTTTTACTGAACAAACCCTACCCTACTATTATATTGTTTATAGGAACTATATACCTTGTCCAAATTCTTTCTAAACCATTTAGTTTCTCTTGCATGGACATATGTTTTGAGAAAACACCTTTAGCTCATTTAAATTATAAGGATATAATTATGCAAAGGCTAATATAATGTTTATAGTATGGAGAAACATCATAATTCTTTTAAAACATATTTAGGACTTTTGTGGCTAATTATAAGAGATTGTCTTGGTTTTGTTTTTCTCAGTCTTCCTACCAGAAAGGTTTAAATATACAATTTTATTATGTTATAATTGGACATTTAAAGGAATTCTAATGGCCAACACATAGTGATTTTTTTTTAACAGCATTTAGTTTTTATTGTGTGCTTTTTTTTTTTTTTTTTTTTTTTTGAGCAAATGACTTTTTTAATCAAATTTGTGATAAGGGATTGGAAGTGCCTCAGGTTAGAGCATGCTCTTTCATCTGACCTCATGAAATTGATTCTGATTTTGTATGTGGTAAAATACATATAACATAAAATTTACCATTTAAACTATTTTCAAGTGTACAATTCAGTGGCGTTAAGTACATTCACAATGTTGTGCAGCTGTCACCTCTATCTAATCCCAGAACTTTTTCATCACTCCAAATGGAATCCCCATATTCATTAAGGAGTTGCTCCCCATTCCTCCCCTCCCCAAGCCCTTGGGAGCCACAAATGTTGCCTGTTGTGGATATTTCATGTAAATGGAATCATATAATATGTTGCCTTTTGTGTCTGGCTTCTTTCACTTAGTGTGATGTTTACAAGCTTCGTTCATGTTGTAGCATGTATAAATTATTGAATATTATTTTATAATTATTTTCATTACTTACTTTTAAATTCTTCTCCAAATGCTTTTTTCTTAAATAATGTTTTTCAGGTTGAATTCAAGCTAAATAAAGAAACACCAACATTCCCTGGAAGACTCTTGCAACATGACCTTGAAAGAAACTACTCAAGTAGGCAAGGTATTACCAGTGAGTAGAGATCAGATATGGTTCCTCTTCTTTATATAATATTAATTGTTTAATAATGTTGAATTACTAGATCCAAATAAACTTGAATTAAAAATTAAATGTTCGTTGGTTACCAAATTGGTTTGGTATTTGTTTAAATCAGAATTGTTTTTTTTCTCATAGCATAGTAGATTATTTTCAATACAGAAAAAGCTATTGTTATTTTAGTTTGAGGGTGGGCTGTACACTAGAGAACTGGAAAAGAATGTTCCAAATACTGTATTAGAACTAGGAAAAATGGGTAATAAGTGACTAAGAGTATGAGAACACAAATCTTTAGGAAATAAGGAAACAATGGAAAGAAGGGACAGTTAGGAGTAGAAAAGAATCTCTCATATTATTGCATATAATTATAGATATTTTATATTACAGACCTTAAATTTTGGTGTGTATCACTTGGGATAATGCTGATTCTTAGCATTCACCCTCCATCTTCCCCATTCTGATTTTGTAGGTCTTGGGTGAGTTTTAGAAATGTGCATTTTGATAATGCCATAAATGATCCTGATGGATGTGGTTTGTGGACTACCCTTTGACAAATACTGCCTTATATGATCTGATTAAATTTCTAAAATGTATTTTTCAAATTAAGGAAAATTTTTCCTTAGAACATTATGGTCTTAGTTGGTTGCTAAGCTAAAACTGTTAGCTCTCTGTAATGTCCTAGACTTAAACACTAAAAAATCCTTGCATATAGTACTGCCCCTACCTCTTAGGGATTTGTATAAGAGGGCTGATCAGCATAGACTTCTCTAGATTGTTCATCTCATTACTATGTGAACATATGGTGATTTTTGAATATTGATTTGTTTTACCTTTTTGTTTTGTTACTTCTGAGCCCTTCTCTTGGGCCCATCTAATCGGACATGTCTTTGGCCCTTGGCTAATTGCTAGACATGATATCCTAACTGCAGTTCCACAGTGTAGGAAGCATCTGTCTTGCCTTCTTTGGTTCAGTTCAGTACATATTTATAGAGTGTGTACTATGTGTCAGGCACTGTTTTAGGCACAGAACTGTAGATTTGAACCTGGAAATTCTCTACTAGGGTTTTGTATGTTTGCATTGTGAATTTCCTATCACATTTTTGATAAGATGAGGGTACTTTAAAAAAATTATGGAAAAATTGAATTAGAAGCTAATGTGAATCTTTCCACGAACTTTTCGAAGTACCTTCATAATTCCTTAATTTTTTTCTCCTTCCTAAATCATGAATCAAACTTAAATACTTTCCCCAAGCTTTTCTTGAGTTAGAGTAGGGAGTTGGCACACAAATTTTTGGATGGCTGGCCAGGTAAATTTATTTAAGTGGTAAAGTGTTACTAGATATTTACTAATGAGGAGACAGTATGGATGCATTGAACCTGAGATGAATAAAGTCTTATATGTAAGTAATGACCTGAGAGATGAATAAAGTCTTATACGTAAGTAATGACCCACATGATACAAATTAACCTAATCGGTCTTTCATTAAAAGATTTTATTCAAAATCAATCTCTGTGAAAACATGCTCATTTGATATGTCTTAAATATGTATCTGGTTATTTCCAGTGTGCCTCTGCCATAATTCCAGGCAGTTTCATGCAAACAAGACCATACAACTTAAAGCTATTTTCTTGACTTTTGTATTCAACTTTCTATCTCCAAGGGCATAGAATTCTGGAAAAAATAAGTAGCACTTTGTCAGGAAAAGTTTGGGGACCTCTATTTAATAAACTGCATTCTCATACTCAATCATTATAATTAATTTCACCCCTTTCTTATTTTTCAAAATTAATCAAACATAGTCTGTAAGCACAAATTACAAACAGTATGTTCAGTCAAAAGTAAAGAAAGTTATGGGGCCGGCCCGGTGGCTCACTGCTATAGTGCACCGCTTGGGAGCGTGATGGCGCTCCCGCCGAGGGTTCGGATCCCACATACAGACCGGTTCCCGCTCACTGGCTGAGCAAGGCGCGGGAGCGACCCCGAGGGTTGCGATCCCGTTGCCGGTCCCCGGTCCGGTACGGGGGCAACACTGAGGGTTGTGATCCGTTGCCAGACATGGAAAAAGACAAAAAAAAAAAAAAAAAAAGTAAAGAAAGTTAATGTTTTATTTAAACTGGTTAGTCAAAAACTTGGTGTGTGATTTCTTTTAGGCTTTTTGGAATATTGTCAGGAGTTAACCACTGTATCCTTGAGGTTTTGTAAGAGCCAGATATTCCGGGGACTACTATACAGTAAAATCTCAGTTAACCTGACCTTAATTGATTTAATCCCTTAATTAATAATTTTTAAATGTAAATGTGTATGTAGAGAGGAAGAGGCACTGCTTGACTCTTAAGATCATGATAAATCACTAGAAAATTTAGAAGCAGGATTTTGGTTACCAAAACAATCTCAAAGATAAGGCTGAATGGACACACATATGTGGTCTTATACTATTCCATCCATCCATCCACTCATCTGTCTATCCACCCACATATCTGTTCATCCATCCACCCATGCATCTGTCCACCCATCCATCCATCCATGTATCTAGGGTGCAGTGCAGTGAACATTCTTACCAAATGTGAATTACTATGCCTCTTAACACTTTGAGATGCTACCTATGAAAGAATTTCTTCAGCATTTTTGTATTAAAACACAAGAATTTCTAATTTTCCTTTTAAAAAGAAATAACACACACAAAATGGATTTCCCATTAAGTCTTAGTAAACTGAAAAAACAGTTAATTTATCTACCAATTGCCTGCTGAATTTAGATTCTACCAAGCATATAAAGAAGGTAAAAGGAGTTTCATTTCTCAAGGGGCTTATAAATTTAACTGGGAAGACAAAGGCTACATATCTGGTCAGTTAAATAGTGTTATAAGAAATAAACAATAAAATTAAAATAGTGATGCAGTTTATATGTGAGTGTTTATGTATTCACATGTGTATGTTTTAATCTCAGATTCCTCTGGTTCCGAGTCATTTAGAGGATCTTGTTTGTGGAGCTTAAGGCCTCTCTACATAATCATTCTTGTCTCTTTGTATTTATTGTAAGGTGTACTTCACAGTGATAGTAATAGTAAGCTCATCATGCTGATAGTTATTATGACTTCTGTGTATAACAGGAGTGAAGAGTGTGAAGATATAATTCTTTTATTTGCTGAGTGTAAATGAAATTATCTCTTTGATTATTGTCTTTATATCCCAAGTCTTATAAAGTTTAAATCTGCTGCCTAAATTGAGGATTGGCCTGACGCTTTAACAAAATAATTCAAAAAACCTAACTCTAATGCTAACAAGGGAAATTAAAGTTGTCTAGTATTTAGAGTTTTTCCTTTATTGTCTTTAGCTGACCAGTTAATTTTTAATCAGTTAATCCTTAGATTTCAGTTAATACTTAGACTAGTTCTTGTTTTAGTTTTGCTTTTTTAGCCACCTGACTTTTGATTTCCAAATTGATTTACCGAATCATGGTTGCCTGGGTATCCTGCTAGCAGGTGGTCATATCATAAAATCAGTTCATTGGTGGACATGATATCAATTCTGAATGCTTATACTCTAGAACATCATTACTAGTTGTCTTGATATTTCATGATATTCAGAAATGTGGGATGTGGGCACTGGCTATTTTGTTCAAGAAGCTAGGTGTGAGATACTTTGGTTTATACCTTGCAGACCTGAAGAAGGTAGCAGATACCATTGCTTTACAGCTTTTTTAATATTATCTATATGGAACTCAATTTTAAGTTGTTATCATATTATCTGATAGCCTCCTGACGACTACGTTAGCTTCCTCAATTTCGTTTTCATCTTTTCAATTTATTGGTTAGTTTAAGCAGCAGAATTCTGTGGTAACCTAAGGTTCTATTTTACTGTTTATTTCTCCCTTCAAGCACTTCAACGTCAATTGCTGCTTTCAGTAGATTTTCTCTATAGAGAAAAATACGGTAGATTTCCTCTGGTATTCAAACTGTCACCTTTGACTCATTACTCAAATCTTACCTCATTTCTGGAACTTCCCATCATTTCTTCTTGATCGTTCTACATTATTCTAGTTCCTTAGAATATATCTTTTTTTTTTTTTTTTTTTTTCCTTTTTTTGTCTTTTTTTACTGACCGGTAATGGGATCGCAACCCTTGGTGTCGCGCCCGTACTGGGACCGGCAACGGGATCGCAGCCCTCGGTGTTGCGCCCGCACCACGCTCAGCCAGTGAGCGGGAACCGGTCTCCACATGGGATCCGAACCCCCGGCGGGAGCGCCGCTGCGCTCACAAGCGGCGCACTCTCCAGTGTGCCACCGGGCCGGCCCCTTAGAATATATCTTAATACTCATCTCCCCAACCTATCTGTACCCATCTTCATTAAGTGATAAATAACCAGACACACTTATGTGCAAATATACAAGTATAATAGGTATTCTTTTTTATTCTATGTTTTGTGCATGTTGTCCTTTTCAGTTTATTGATTTCATATGTGTTTACTTATTAGATTAAAAACTACTTAATGGCAAGGACACTACCTAACCAACAGCCTGTAAAGCCCCATAGGGGTGTCATATGCCCTGTAGACCCTAACCACAAGTGTACCAGATTTGTTGACATCCACTTTGGTGTCTTTGCAATGTTCTCTACTAATAGTAGTTGACCTGCAAAGAAAAAGTGGTGATGCGAGGTTTACATCTGCTATCCAAAACTACTTCTGTGTATTTCCTATAGCAAAGTCATGTATTACGTAGTTTTGTGATAAACTTTTTGATATTTTGAAGGAGATGGAAGAGTAATAAGTCCTTCGCCTCGTAATAAATCATCATGCATCTCATCCACAACAAACGTGACAGAACTATGTGGGCTGGAAATGAAAACTGCCACGAGCTCCTTATCAGCATTTGGAGATTCTTCCATTCAGACACCTTCAAAGTCCAGAATCCGGCAGGGCTGTCATAGTGCTGGCCCAAATGTATCTGGTAATGAGGGACTATCATCTCAGTTACAGAGAGTTAAAATTTAGTATTAGGAGTCAGGATTATAAATGGTTAAGGAGCATTAGAGTAGTTCTGTACCCCCAACCAATTTGTAAGGCAAGGGAAAAATTATTTGGCTTATGTGGAACACATAGTTTAGGTTTGAGGAGGAGAGAAGCAAGCTCAAATTTAGTAATTAATTTCAAATATAGAGAGCTATGGAAACTATACTTTCTAGAAAAGGTATTTGTAGGTGCCAGAGTTCTCCAAATATAAGGTGACTTTACTTTTAAGATTTTAAAGGTTTTTCTTAATCAAGTAATTTGTGTATCATTTTCAATAGGTGATCATATTAATTTGGTGAGCTCATCAATGCCATCATTTCCTATTCTCCAACGTTCTTCTGAAGAGAAAATTCTTTACTCAGACAGGTTGACCTTAGAAAGGTGAGGACAACTTATTTTATTTTCTTTTTTGGATTAGGTAATATACAGACATGGTACAAGATTTGAAAGATGTGCAAGTCTCCCTCTCTCTTCCTATTCCCGAGCTATCCAGTCCTGGGTACAATCTCTTTTTGCCAATTTTTTTTGTTTATCCTCCCAGAGGTATGGTGAGGAATTTTATATCTATATAATGTAAAAGAGCTTGACTATATTCCAAAAGAATACTATAGCAATTCTAAAATATGACATTGATGAAAAGGGATTTTAAGATAGAAAAAATTTTACAATATAGTCCTCACATGGACTAACTAGGGCCTATCCAGTCTACGTCCCTGTTAGCTCACTGGCCTCGTTTCTTCATACACTCTCCTTTACTCACTCTGCTCCAGCCATACCTGCCTCCTCACTGTTCCTTGAACACCAAGTATGCTTATACCTCAGGGCTTTTGTGCTTGCTGTTCTCTCTTCCTGGAATGCTGTTCCTCCACATATCTGTAGGCTCACTCCGTTACATCCTTTAGATCTTTCCTCAATTGTCATCATCTCAAGGATGACTTTCTCTGGCCACCCTCTACAGAATTGCAACCCCCTGCACCCTGACAGTCCCCAGCCTCCTTCTCTGTTTTGTTTTTCTTCTTAGCATTTATCACCCTCTAACATATTAACTATTTACTTATGTTTATTGTCTGTCTCCTCCTACTAGTAAGCTCCACAAGCACAGGGATTTTTGTTCAGTTCTCTATCCCTGGCACCTAGAAGAGAGCCTGGTACAAAACAGGCTCTTGATAAAAAATTTTTGAATGAATGAATATAAATGAGACTTGATCCCTATATTTATATCTAGGAAGATATCCATAGTAGAATGGTAGATTAAAGATTCCAACCCCTACCCTTGTGGTATAACCAGCAGAGAAAACATCTCTGCTGTGTATACCTTTCGTTTAGCAGTGCACATCTGACAACAAATTGTAGTGGACCATCTGTGCTTATAGTTGGGAAAAACCTCTTCAGAGGGTCTAACATGTTGTTTTGTAAGCAAAGTAACACTTGAAGGCAGTAACTCTCATGACATTTTTGCAGTATTAATGTTTTTTGAGCTTCTAATGCTGTCTAGTATTTATTACTTTCATGATATTATTTTAATGTTTTGAGGGATTATATGGTCATTTTTTTGTCTCTAAAAGTTCAGCCAAGAATAGTAATACCTCAGCCCTTCAGTTTCATGTCACTTGATATTGACAGGAGCCAGTATTTGATCAACTGTGACATAACAAGTTAGGCATTTCAGCTGTAGCTTGGAGTGACTCAGCCAATTGTGAAGATGGCTCCTTGGTAGCATGGACCTCTTGGGAGGAAAAGCAAACTCTGATCTGGTGGAGGCTCACATATCAAGAAAGTTAAGACCAAGGGAACTGACTCTGCTTCAAAGGCTGGTTGTGAAGTGGCAGAATCACAAAACTGTCATAAGCTTAGGCATAGTTCATTCAGACCAGGATGTACAATCAAGAAAGTTAGGCTAGTAGTACAGAACTAACTCAATGATCATTTTTGAGAGCCAGTGGGTAACAGCAAGAAATTCCAAAGGCAGATCTGTCATGCTGTGTGCCTTCTCAGGAGACTGAGAAGACAAGAGTAGAATCCAGCCCTGAGAAGAAATACTTGCAAGAGCGAGGCTCTGGCTGTTCTGGGAGTTAGGGTAGGCCTGGAGTACCAGGAAGGCAGCCAATCAGCACCAAGAAGGGAACACAGAAGCAAAGGCATAGTCCAATAGACGTGTCAGTTACAGAGTAGGAGGTGTAGCAACTCAAGGGTTTTGTAGGCATAATAAGCTCCCCTCAAGGGCACTGGGTCATTGATTATTATGTGTGTTAACTTGCTTGTTTTGGTGGGGTGACAGGGATTCGTGCAGTAAAGTGGTGTACAAGTGAGCCTTGAAGTTGAGACTTAGCCATTGTGTTTGGAATCCAAGACAGTGGCTTTATTTCAAGATATAGCAGCTTATATAAGACGGTGGTCAGAGGTTATATATTTTCCTATTTCAGTGATAACTAATTCAAGAATTGGATGAAATAGAAGTTGGGGGATATCAGAAAGTTTAATTATGAGAAATAGAGAAAGAATGAAGTAGGAAAAATGAGACAATTTAAGTGTTTTGCTAAGTTAGTGCACAAAGGTGTAAATTTTAAACTAGAATACTTATAATTTATTACTTTATAATTTAAAAACCAGAAGTACCAAGTATGGTAGTATAATTGAATACATGAAATGAATATATTAACCATACATCAAGATAATTAAACTATTGCCTAATATTTTTTACTTTTTCTCTATTTTAAACCCATTTCTTCAGGGTCTATATTTTTAAACATCATATCTTTGTCAACTGCTAACATTCAGTTATTTTTATTTTGTGAATCATTCTTTTTTCTCTTTAAAAGGAGGATTCTGATCACTTCCATAGTTTCATTTATGTTTGTAACACTCTGATTTGTTTTCTTTAAAGCTTACGTTAACTTGATTTTTACTAAAGGAAAATATTTCTAATAAACCTCCCTATTAGAGTTGTTCCCACTGAGAGAGAGCAGTGTTTTCCTCGGAGACTCCTTTGAACCTTTCAGAGTAGAATCACTCAGTATTTTCTGTCTGGCCATATTTTTATACTACTAGCATTCTTAAAGGACCCTGCACTTATTTACTTCATGTGTAATATGTTTTAACTTTTTGCATAATAGAAGCTTACTGTTTTAAATACAAATAAAGACATATATTATTAACGTTTCATCCTAACTTGTAGCACTTTAAATGTTGTGTAAAGTTCAAAGTTACTGTTGAACATGTAAACGTATACTTAAAATCTAATCTTCTGAGGAAATATTCAATAAGGATCATCTAGGGGCCAGCCCGTGGCTCAGTTGGGAGAGTATGGTGCTGATAGCACCAAGGCCACGGGTTCGGATCCCTGTGTAGGGATGGCCAGTTGGCTCGCTTGGGAGAGCGTGGTGCTGACAACACCAAGTCAAGGGTTGGGATCCCCTTATTGGTCATCTTTAAAAAAAATAAATAAATAAGGATCATCTTACCATTAATGGATTTCAGGATGAATTTTTTTCATTACAGTGAACTGTAGATTGCTGAATGTCTTGTTCTTTTAAAGACATTCAGCTTAAGAGTCTGTGATTCTGAGAAACCCTTTTATATGGTTTTTGTTCCGATGACTTAGTTGCCTGGTCAGTCTTTATGTCAGTGGATTGATGCCACAGACATTTCTTTCAACCATCTAAACCTCTGTCACAGAAGGAAATTACACTGATTGTTTTCTGATAAGTCAATTTCATGTGAAGTAATTGATATGGGAGACTTTTTTTTATAAAATGAGAGCTTAGACTTAATTTTAATATTTACCTTTGTCAAAGTCTATTGGCTTTTTTTGTGAATGATTTTACAAGTAAGTATAGGTCACTTAGTTCATGGGGGTGGAAGTGGCACAGCTTATCTTTCTCTCCTCACAGCCTGGGAGCACAAAGATACTAGTAATAATATTTGTAAGAGGAGGCAGGCTGCCAAATCGGAACCTTATTAACTTTTAAAAATTTTTTCTAGGCAGAAGCTGACCGTATGTCCTATCATTGATGGGGAAGAACACCTTCGCTTGTTGAACTTTCAACATAATTTTATAACTCGGATTCAAAATATTTCTAATCTACAAAGATTAATATTCTTGGATTTATATGATAACCAGATTGAAGAAATTAGTGGACTTTCTACTCTGAGATCCCTCCGTGTTCTTCTGTTGGGGAAAAACAGGTATTCTTTGTAGAGCAGTTTTTTTTTTTGTAGCCCAACCCATATGTAGGACTAGTGTTGAGTTCTGTGGTATTTAGATGGCAACTCCAAATTGAAATACTTAAGAAAATAATAGGCTAACATTTTTGAAAGATTATTTGAATGGATTATAATTCAGTCATAATTCGTTTCATGATATTTAGTCTGACAATTCATCAAATTTAACATTTATTGAGTGCGTATTATTTTATTTCCATTGCTTTTCAGTGCCATATCTTATATAGAAGTAAATAGCAGACTTTGCCCTTAACTTTATGCTTTCTTAAAACATATTTTAACATGTGTGTTCAGTTCAGGCTGGTGTGTTTCACTTGAGATCCTTCTCAGTGTTTGATTGAGGGTAGAAACTTGGTACTTTCTGATTGTCAAATCACTGATTGATTCCTTTTTAGATGATAGTTTTGGTATGTATTTAATATCACATCCTGTATGAACTTCCTCACTTCATTTTATATGGCTCTATTATGTGCCGTAGCTAAACAATTCCTGACTCATTTTCTTGAGACTTTTTCACGACTGTTCTCTTTATTCTGTTTAACTGGATAGCTTTTGCAATGCCTACAAAGAAGGGCTGTTTAACAATATCCAGAAATGATTTTTTATCATCAAATGATGACATTTATATGTAACAGTATACTCAGGCTAGATTCTCCTCCCCCTTCTCCCTCTGCTCTCACTCCCCAGCATGGGTCTTAGATTACCTCTTGTAGGAGAGAAAATGTAATATCTTTTCCTCACTCATCACAAAGGTATAGAGGCTAACACCTCTATAACACAGACAGATTAACAAAAGAAAAGCATAACAAATCTTTTTAATATAAGTTTTATATGGCACAGGAGCCTTCAGAAATGAAGACCCAAAGAAATGGGAAAAACTGTGTATGCTGTGCTTAGGTTTGATGACAAGTGGGCAATTGTGTAGAAGTATGATTGGACAAAAGGGGAATGATCTAATGGTAATAAACTGGGGGTACCTTAGCAAGACCTGTTTGTTTAGATTTTTCTCGTCATCTCTGTGTCTTCATTGCTTTCCTCTGGGCATGGGGCAGGATCCCTCTGGAATGAGGATCTTGTGACATACTTTCATGGGAGGTAGGTCAGAGAATTTTTTTATTGCCTTAGGGAAGAAAGGCAGGAGATGTTCAGAGAGTGAACTTCCTGCTCCTGTGGTTTTCTTAATTTCCTTTAGCTTAAATTACTCAGTGTGCCAGGGTGCCATATATTGGGGTATCATGTTCTGAGCCCTGACCCTCTTTATTCCCACTAATGATAATAATATAAGTTACTTTTTCCAAGATTATGTCCTAGAGTCCTAGGCTTTTGTCTGTCCTCTGTGGTATCTCTGAAAGATTTCATCAGTGTAGTTTATCACACATAATTAGTTTAAGTGTTATCCTAAACATTACTTTGCATAAGGGAATTTGGGAGAATTATAGAATAAGAGTGTTAGAGCTTGAAGGGACCTCAGAGATCAGCGTTTTCATTTTACAGATGAAGATACAGAGAGGTAAAGTGACTTCTGCAAAGTTAGATATGGACAGATTATTTACAGAAGGAGTATGCCACCGGAGCAGTTCCCTGAGTAAAGTGAAGAGGGAAGTTAACTTTTCCTACATTTAAGGCATTCTCTTCTAGGTGCCCCCGTTATCTCTCCCAGAGATTTCCTTACTAATTTCTGATCCTCAGAGTTATTAATTGTTGCTTTATGTTGCTTTGCCCCCCACAGATTTGTCACCCCTTTTCCCCTGGGTGACGGAGATGCAAAGGATTACTCAAAGCCCATCTCTTCTGAGCAGTGAGAAGCCCCAAAGTGGTTAACTTCCCTGGGACCCTCCAGCAAGAGGCAACCCTTCCTTGGGAAATTAACACCAAATTGGTGTTCTCTTCCCGCATTTATTTTCCAGACCAGGAAGTTACAGGAAGAGAACATAGGTGGGGTTATAGTTTAACAATATAGGCTGGTAACTTTCAGTGAAACAAGCCAGATGACATTCCAGTAAGGCAATTAACAAAAGCTTGATCTTAGCAAACATTCCTTTTCCCTCTAGCAGTTTTCCCACAACTTAGATATCAATCAGTAACTAATCTGTCTTTGAGCCAGCAACCTTGCAGTGCCATGATTCCTATCTTGCAACAGAGACTTATAGCCTGAGGAAAATTTCCAGCCCTCTGCAAGGTCAATATTTGAAACTGCAAGACTTTGGAAAACCAGGCCCTTTGAAGTACATATGCTTTTTAGTATATTCCACAATTAATTTCTTTGTATAGCTCACATTTATTCTTTAGTACCATTGCCTTTATGTCCTCCTTTAGTCCTTCAGTTAAATGTTTTCTGGAGATATTCTCAATCTTTTTTTCTGGTTTTAAACATAGTATCTAAGAGCTACTCTTTTAAATCATTCTCCTAAAATAATCTTTTAAGGTTTGTTTGTTTGATAACTTGTGCCTTGAAGACATCAGTCTGTCTGACCTTATTTAAGATCTTTGCTCTTCCAACTCTAAGGGACCTAATGTCCTTCTACTATATCCTCATCTTGGCAAAGTAAAAGCAACCTACTGCCATCTCTTCTTCCTCCTCCTACTCCTCCACCTTTTTCGTTTGTTTGCTTTTGGTCATATTTTACTTTATTTTTCACATAAAAAGTAGCTGTTAAACAGTTCTAGAACTTTTAGTGTCTTTGAATCAAAAGAAAATGAGTCAGAAACAACTTTCCACTTTTTCCCAAATCACATGTTTCTGAAGTGTCAGTAAAATGCAAATCTGATCCCTAAATCATATACCAAGTGCTCTCTAGTCAGCTGACTTTGTCATGACAAAGGGCCTGTGAGTTTTAAAGATGCAGATCTATCCTGAGGCACTACTTCAGTGAGCATTCAGCAAACCTGGCTGAGAATGCTGGTGAGGAGGGAAGCACATCTGCCTCCATCTCCTAATGCGTTTGTCCTGGATGACTTGTTGCCCACTGCTGGTCAAGTCCAGAAAGATTTCTTCCTCCCACACTGCAAAGCACTGCACCATCTTTTAGTCCAAGGAACCATAAATGGAAATCCATGGCAACCACATGCCTCTAGGTTCAGGCAGATCCAAAAAAGATTTCTGCTCAAAAGACCCCTGCTCAAATTTTGTATGTGAATTTACATTGCTACCAAAGAACACTCAACCCCACTTTGCTGTTGATTTACTTACTGTCTGATTTTCCTACCTTCAGTATCCTCTGCTTATCCTCTCCAGATCTTCTGGTGCCCTCATGATCACAGGTTAATGAATAAGAACTTCTCTGCATTTTCTTCTGATCACCGAGGACTATAGATCCAAAATTCTCTACCAGACCCTGTGGATTCTCTGTTCCTTTCCTTTTAACTACTGTAAATTTTCCACTTAAGGATTTGTCTCTGACACCTGAAAAGCTGAGCCTCCATATCGGTCTTTAGCAGTGGGGTCTTTATCCTAGCATCAGTAACATAATGCGGCCTGCAGAGACAGGCTGTGGTATATCCCTAGGGATCTGTAGCTGCCAAGGTGATGAGTGAGCCTAGTCTTTTTCTAGTTTCAGTTTCTGTCCAATGGGAAAACTTCTTTTTTAAAAAAATCTTTCAGGTCACATTGACTAGGATTCTGCAAATTCCTCACATCTATACCTTATCTGACCAGTGGCCTCCTAGGTCAACTGATGCTTTCATGTGCAACCACATGCCTCTTAATTCTTTTTAGAATTGGATCTATTTTTAGGTCATAACAGGTGCTGGAGGTGGGGAGAGAACCTATGGCAAAGGAAACTCATGAGAACAAGACATCAAGACATTTGGTTGGTCTTGGGTTTAATTGATTGACTTGCGTATTTTTCTTCCTGTTCACCTGGGCGATCAGAATTTGAAGTGAGAGTCATAAAGCAACTATGTGTCAAAGATAAGAGAATGACTGAACACACCATGTGTCAAAGCTAAGAGAATGCTTGAAAGCTAAGAGATAGGGAGTGAGTGTGAGAGGCTCTGGTGGAATTCTGTGGGAAGCCAGATTGCACATGAAGGTTTCTGTGATTGAAATGCCTTAAAGGTGCTCAGGGTTTCTGACAAATACAAAAACAAACCACATTTATCCTCCAGATCAGAGAACTTCATTTGGGCTGAGACAATCTCCATTATCCCTGGTGTATAATTTTCAAAATGTTAAAAATATAATTCTCAGATAAATAGATAGTAATCACAGGCCAATGTTTCAATTAACTCAATGTGGGAAGCAGCAGGATGACAAAGTTGGTTCAAAGGAGGATAAAAGAAACTAATAGGCAATGTTTTGGCAAGCCCTCCAGGTGAATCTGATACACACAGGATTTTGAGAACCACTGTTTTAGGGAATCTGAGCTTGGGAATATAAAATAATTGAATAAGAGTCTTCTTTAATAGTTATGAGGTCAGACTGCTATTAGGAAGCATGAGTCTGTCCTAAGCCAAATTATTAGGGTACTGTAATATTCTCCAACTGTTCTAGGTATTTCAAGAGCAAAGCAGGCAGAGGATTAGTTTGTTGAAAGTTTTCTCTGTTTCTACTTGGTTTGGCTATTAGTTTAGTTATTAGATTTAAATGATGAATAGGGTAGTATTAAATGCCTGGCTCTGGATGAAGGCTAATGAAGGATTCCAGTGAGTCCTGAGGATGCTAATGGTTTGGATAAAGTGAGTTAGGGGTGTTCAGGAGGTAGGGTACTTCCTAGAAGAGCAGATTCTGCCAGTGTGATGGTCTGAGAGTAGAAACAGGTAAGGGATTGTGGTCATAAAAAGTGTGGTGTGTATGTGATAAGGGAGAGAGGAAGAATTACAACCGTGCAGTGATGATCTATGGTGGGTGTGTGGTAAGTATTTTTATAGATTAAATTGGATTGAATTGGCTTGTGATAATATAATTCTTGATTTGGAAATGATGTAAGATGGCTGAGGTCAAGTGGAGACAGAAATTCTTGAAGTTTAAGTTTGCTTTATGTTTACATAGTGATTAGCATATATATGAAGTTTTAAGGGGTGATCCCGGCTCTGGAAACATTTAGGAAGGTGGAAATGAGTCAGTAAATAATGCCAACAGAAATAATGATAGACAGATGGTAATAAAGATGGGTTGCATGAATTTCATTTTTTTTGTCCTTTCTTTGCCATTGTTCCCTTCTCTCTACTGAATAATGGTAGTAGGAAAAAGTAGGATCTATTGGAGGAAGAACAATAAAAAGAGGTTTTTTGCTTTGTTTTGTTTTCTTGTTAGAAGAGTCCAGTTGGAGGTAGTTGGATAGGTAAAGTAGTAAGAAGAAGATGGGAATGAGGGAGACAATAGGTATGTCTGACCATTAGAAAAATATAAGAGGGGGCATTTTAGAGATAAAATTCTCTGTTGTTTTTATTTTTTAAATCCACATAAACTGTAGATTATTTATTTTCCCTCTAGCTGTAGGATCAGTACATCGATTGCTTCTCTTTACCCTTCGGGTTGACAGTTTTCTCCATGTTGCTGCTGCTGATATGATAAAGCTCAGCATAGAGAGCCCTCAGGTCCAGCACCAAGGCCTGGTAATCTGCTAGATAGGTCTCCGTGGAGGCCTTGGCTATGGCCTGCCTGTGTTCTGAGAAGTTCTTACAAATGGTTGTCTGGAAGGCTTCCACTTTGGGCTTGACCACGTTCACCCTTTCCCGTACCTTCTGGATTGCCACTCCCAGATCATTTCCATCCTTAATTATGGTGATCAGGTGCCAGACCCATGTGATCACAAGAATGCATTTCTCTTTGAGAGTCTAGACTTCTGGTGTAATCAGGGCAAGCAGGGCCAGGACTTTCTTATTCCCAGGGAGAAAGCCATACTTAGGGATTTGTTTCCATCTCATCATCCTTCGATAGGGGTTCTGTGATGGCGATGTCCAATGGGGCTGGGAGGGAGGTCAGATCAGGCACACCAAGGGAGACCTCTTGCAAGAGCTGATTCAAGTATATGATTTTCTGTGACAAGTATCTGTAGAGGAATTCCTCCACCCCACCTGGAAAATATTTTGCCTGAAGACACACTTGTTTGCAGACCTCCACACTCAGATGCATCCCACAAGGCTTAGCCAGCTGCTTTAGTTGCCTGATCTCCTGTGATTTTTTTTTTTTTAATAGCAAAATTAATTCCAAAGAAATGTTAGTGTTTTACAAACTGAATAGGCCTAGTAGAAAACATTTAGGGGGTGTGCAATTTGTGATAAATAACCCTGTTATGATCATTTAAAACTCATCCACTTAGTGTGTTCATTCATTCATTAAATAAATATTTTGGGGGTGCCTACTTGGTATCAGACACTGTTATGAGTGCTGGGGATGGAATTGAGAACAGGTCAAAGTTTTTGCTCTCTTGAAGCTCACATTTTGGTTTGGCAGGAGAGATAATAAAGTAAACACATAAGTAATATAATCTTAGGCAATGATAAATGCTGTGAAGTCAATTAAAGCTTGGGAAGGAGAGATTAATGGGGACAGGAAGGGAGAGCTGTTTTAGACAGGGTTATCTGGATGTATCTCTGAGAAGGTGTTCAAGCTGAGACCTGAATAATGTGAAGGCATGAACCATGTCAAGTTTTCTGGAAAGAACATTAAGGCAGAAGGAACACAGCAAGGGTAAATACCATGAGGCAGAATTGAACTTGTCAGGTTAGAAACATAGCAAGAATGCCACTGTGCCTGGAGCAGAGGATGAATGAGCCTGTGGTAGGAGGTAAGGTTGGCAGAGGAGTCAGCGGGCAGATGGCTTAGTGACTTTTAGGAAAAAGAAAGGAGCTTAGGTTGTATTCTAAGGTCAAGGTAACTGCCTTGAAGAGGATGTCTTGACCTAAGTTTCTTTGAAGTAGAACTATTCTTTTCTAAAGATGTGAAATTTAAGCTATCTTTCCCCCCAGTGGTATTGCATCTTTAAAATCATAATTAAATCAAAGGGAAAAAATTATTATTTAATATATATATATATATATTATAACTGTATGTGTTTGTGTGTATATATATATATAGAGAGAGAGAGAGTGTGTGTGTGTGTAAATTAAAATGAGCTACACCTCTACACTTTAGCATACTTAATTTACAGGTAGAGGTGGTACATCCATATTTCTACTCTACTTTATTCTGATTTTCAGAATCAAGAAAATCTCAAACCTGGAGAATCTAAAAAGCTTAGATGTGTTGGACCTTCATGGAAATCAGGTACTGTAAATACCTTTCATTTCTTTCTTTTTTTGAAAAAAGCCCAGGACATTTGATATTATAAAAGTTTTAAGAATCATACTTGCATCAAATTTTTCAAGAGTTACTTTACTGAATCACTGAAATTTCTAAGGTATTAAGCCTCTTTGTATAAGATTTGGTAACTCAACAGTAAATGACAGGTAAACTTATAAAACATTTGGAATACTTGTAATTATAACAATTTTGTTTTTTATTTAGTTTTTTATTAACTTATTTTTAAAATACACATTATTCAACTTGAACCAAGAACTAGAATATTATTGGCTTTCTTCTGTTTAGGTGTTTCTCCTTTCTTCTATCCCCTTACTTCCTCATCAGAGGTAACCACTATTCTGGATTGCATGTTTATCATTCCTTTGTGGGTTTTTTAGTTGATTTTATTACATATAGGTGTGTCTAAATAGTATATTGTTTAATGGTATTTTCTTTTAATTTAAAAAAGGCATCATAAATATGTTGTCATATAGTATTTGCATTTTGGATACATTATGTTAACTGAGATTTATCTATTTTAAGTAGCTACAGTTTATTCATTTTTACTGTTGTATGTTCCATGGTATGATTATACAAAAACTTTTTCTCCAGCTTCTTATTGATAGATATTTGGGTTTTCCTGTTTTGTTCTTTGTGTGTTTTATTTTTTGCTATTATCAATAGTATTTATAAAAATTTTCTTCTTCATGTCTTCTACATATTTCTTATATATTCTAGGATATATATCTAGGAATGAAACTGATGAGTCATATGTTATTTAAATCTTTAACTTTAAAAGATAATGCCGAATTGGTTACCAAGTAGTTGTACCAGCTTATACTCTTACCAGTAATACATAAGCGATCCTGTTGCTTCACATCCTTTTCAATGTCTAGAATTATCAGACTTAATTTTTGCTGATTCAATTGCTATAAAACGGTGTTGCTGTGTGGTTTTAATTTATATTTTCTTGATTATTGTATCATCTGGTCTTCTTACTCTATTCAGTCAATTTGTCTACCCCTATATCTCACTGTCTTAATTTCTATATCTGGTTTGTTATGTTCCCCCTCTTTATTCATCTCTGTCAGAGCATCTTGGCTGTTTTTTAGCCCTTTTCTCTTCCATTTCATCTTTGGAATGTGAGTATTTATAAATAGCTACATGAGCTATATACTCATGCAGAATATAAACTTTCTTGTGAAGTGGTAAGCCTACATTCTGGGATGACCCAGGAGTCCCTGCCTGCTGATGAGCAAAATCTGCTGCTGCCACTTGCAGTTGGTCAGGTGCAAACCTCAGTATGATCTCCCCAGGCTTTCTAACAGCTGTTAGTCCCAATAGTTTTGGTGAAAATCTAATGTAATTAATAAAACCCTTGATAGATCTAGATAGGCCATATCTAGGTTCTAATCTATTCCCAGTCCTGTGTGTGCCTGTCTATGTGTTCACATAGTGGGAGTAGAACACTTGTGGAGAAACTGTGAGAGAAGAGGCTGGAAAGGTAAACAAAGACCAGATTGTAGGGGGCTTTGTATGCCATGCTAAAGAGTTGGTATTTTATCTTGTAGCCCACTATTTTTGAAACTATTTGTAACTATAAGTGAAACATTTTATGGTAGCAATATTTTTCTTCAGTTTATTTTTAAATGTATGAGAAATAATAAATATATTTATGTGGTTTTCAAATTATAATATACCTTTAAGAATTCATGGGTACTACCCAAGATTTTTAAGAGCACCTGATAAATGAATACCATATCATTTGATCTACACATTATGTGTAGGCGTTATTTACCAACCATCGTATAATGAAAAATGGTTTGGCTATTCCTTGTTAGCTGAACTATGTATCTTGTAATTTCAGCATGTGTTTGTGATATTCTGTGTATTAAGATTGATTTCTCAAGGTTCTAACTACAAGATGGAAGTTTTAAATGAAAAATCCAAGTCTTGTTTTAGAATATCTAAATTCAATAAGCAAAAATTCTGAGTATTTCAAAGCAAAGTGAACTTAGGTTTCTAAAAAGTCAGGAGATAAACTATTCACAATGAAACAATGTCCAACTATAAAAATTTAGCATCGATTATTAAAAAAACTAAAAGACAATTAAGTGAATGTTTTTTGTCTTTTGAATTTACTTCCATTGGAAATAAAATGTACATGGTACACATTGTGAAATAAATCATAATTGGCTTATGGATGTGAAAAGGTTTTGAGGAATGATGGTGGTGATTAGGAAATGGATTGGAGAGTGGAAAGAGAAGGGGAAGGGAAACTGGAGACAGAACAGTCGAGAGACTAATCACAATAATTTTGGTGAGAAGTGACGGCGGCATGAACTGAAGTAGTGGCAATAGATATAATGAGGGGGTAGATTGGATAAATATTTAGGAGTGGAAACATCAAGATTTAGCAGTTGATTATATGTGAGTAGTGAAGAATACAGAGGAGTCTGGAAGGTTGACTCTGTTATTTCTGACCTAGATTTTGTGCTGGTCTGCCAGAATTTTTTCTCTCAGTGAATGCTTGCTTTAACATGGACACAAATGTGCTCCAAGAAGAATCTGTTCTTTCTGTTCTACTTCAGGGAGAGCCTGTCCTCTCTGTGGTTGCTTGCCTGAAAGAAAACACTTGCCCTTTCTGTATTGCTGGGTAGGAAGTTGTTTTTATCCAGGCAGAACAGTCTGGGTTACTCTTATACACAAAGGTAAGACTGGAGTGTCCAGCTTTCCAAGATGTGTCATGAAGCTCTGCAGTCTTTCTTGACTCCCTTTTTCTGATTAGCATGACCCATAATTGGGCTTTCCAACATTCCCATCATCTTTTCTTCTTGCTGCGAAGTATGTCAACCAATCGAGAACTATGCTGTCACCTTATACCACCCTTTGTCTGAAGCTTCTGTCAACTGCTCTATGCTTGTGACTTTGTTCATGGCTGCAATGAGTAACTGACTTTATTCCGTCAGAGATGTTGTATACAATTCTGGCCTATCAGATTGCAAGCCAAGAAGCCAGACAATATTCCTAGTGATTTTTTTTAAAATTATAGGTTGATACCTATATATATAGTACAAGAATTAACAGTGTTTCTTTCAGCATTTCCAAATGAGAGAATAACTCAAAAATACAGGCATTCTTATTGTAAGTCTCACCAGGACTATGTGGAGTTGGAGAAGGACAGTTTTCTAAAAGAAATGTCCAGGGCTATTAGCAGAAAGGAGAAGACACACTGTATAGGTCATACAACAATTGTACACCTTCACTCTACATATTTATATCTTTCTTGAGCTCAGGAAAGTTTTACTTTGTATATTTAAACATTGCTACTTTTCTATTTATGTTTGTAATATCTATATTTTTTGTCTTTCATATCCCCATTTTATCTTTTACTTCTCCTATCTCTGTTTTCCCTTAGTATTTTTGGAGAATTTCTCAAGCTTGTGCTAACATTACTGATTTTTTTCTACAGTGTCTATTTTGCTTTCTACTGATCCCATTCACTTCAAATTCTACCATCTATTTAGTTTTGAAACGTTTTACTCCATATCTTATTGTACAGTTCTGTCATCTGTAAATACTGACAACCTTGTTTCTTTTCCAATTTTAATTTAATTTAATTTTACATTAGCTAGATCAAGAATGTTAGAACAAATTTTAAACATGGTCAGAGGTTTTTGTATTATTGAATTTACAATAAACATACTTAGGTTTCTCTTCTCAAATCTAGATGGAATCTAGATGGTGTTTCTTGAATGTAAGAGAGAGTCCAAATAAGAATATGGGAACTAGTTTATAAATTTATAAAAAAAAGTTCTTTTAGCTAACATCTGCTTTGAAGCATTAGATAAAATGTTTCAAATACTACTGTGATAACAATACAGATGAGCAAATCAATCTCTAGTGATTGTGAAGTTCTTTTTTTTTTAACTTTCAGAAGAAATGTGTTATGTGTATGACTCATTGTTACTTAAGTACATTGTAGTAAGAAGTTGATGAACCCTCCACAAGTATCCCTACTTCTTTGCCATGTAGAAACTCGTACCATTGTGCTATGCTTGCTGTATTATAATAGTAGGGCTTAAAATTGTGTCGAGCTCTCATCAGTCCGTGATGTTTTTACTTCCCATCACCTTAGTATGCAACTCAAACTCCCTTGCTGCAGTTCAGTGCTAATTCCATGATTCAGGTCCTCTTATTCTAAACTTTTAGTGTATATGATATTGCACCCTAACTAAACATTATCTATAACCTTTCTTAGGCACTTCCACTAATGAAAGAATCCATCCTCACCTTTCACTGGGCATCCTAGTTCCTTGGCTCTTTCCATCCGGATTCTTGACTGCTCTCAGGACCCTGTAGTATAAATAGAATTAACAAAAGGAACTTGGTATTATTCCTTTTTTTTGCCTTTTCTCTCAGAGGGTGGACTTGCTTTGTCAAAACATTGTGAGATTATGCCTTGGGCTCACAGTAATCTTCTGTTTGACAGGTAGGACGCAGCCTTCACAGGACCTGGCACAGTGTTGGACACTTAGAGATGCCCCAAGAGATGAACTCATTGATTATTTGATGAAATTTACTTCAAATATTTACTGTGGTCAAATTGTTAAATTTAGTTAATTGTCACAGGTTAAATGACTTCATATTATCAACAACATAGGAAATTGGAAATAGATTTTTAAATGTCTTCATTAGAAATTTGTCACTGAATCCAGTGATTTTGAATATTTTATTTTCAGGGTATTTTTAACATGCATATCTGAGATTTTTGCCTGCTAATCACCCCCCCCCTCCCATCTTTTAACAGATTACCAAAATCGAAAATGTCAATCATTTATGTGATTTAAGAGTTTTAAATCTTGCCAGGAACCTTTTAAGTCATGTTGATAATCTTAATGGGCTGGATTCACTAACTGAACTTAACCTGCGACACAATCAAATCACTTTTGTGGTAAGTATTAAAATGGAATCGATATGTTCTTTCTGGCTTTTCTTTTAAGGAAATGAAACAGATGTTATAGCATTGCTTTATGCAAAGTAAGAATCTAAGGTTATTTAGTTATTTTCTGAATTTAAATTGTGGATATAATTATTAAGCTTTGTAATATGTTAATTTGGGAAGTATTAAGGTGTTTTCCATATAAAGGATAAATATAAAGTTAGAAACAGAATAGAAGTGTTATAATTAAATGAATCAGCTAACATAAAATCATTACTGAATTCTTTCCTGTTTCGCCATAGGTATAGAATTAATAAGAAAGGTTATTGATGACTGAAAGTTGAGGAATTTTTTCATCAAGAGGGAAAAAGCACAAAGAGGAGAGGTTGATGGTTGTGAGGACATATATAAATGTTGCATTCTCTGTAGTTTTTAAGGAGGCAACCTGGTATCATGGAAAAAGCATTGCATGGGGTGTCAGAGGCCTAGTTCTTGTCAGTTTCACCTCTCAGTAGCTGTGTGACCTTGGGTAATCCCTTTAACTCTTGGACCTCAGTTTAACTTTTTCTAAAATAAGGGTATTGGTTTAGTTTGACTGTGGGTCTTTTTTAGCTGGTTGATGCTAAAAAAAGACATAAAGATGGTAGAGAACTGGCATGTGAGCGGGAGGAAAAGAGATTGTTGGGGCAAAACTTCAGAAAGGGGACTCAAAACTCTGAGACATACTTGATTAGATTTATGGTTTTGCTCAAGGTTGGCCACTAAGTAGAAGCTTGATGCTGAGGTATTTTGTATTTATGGATATGTCAAGAGCACTAGAAATATAGCTATTTGGCTGTGTGGTATGGTGCAGGCCAATAAAACTTTTAATGATTTGTGAAAACATTATCCTTTTAAGTTTTCTTTGTTTAAATGCTATAGAAAAAATTGCGTTAGGTTTTCTCTGGTATCATTTAAGCACTTTTAAAGGCACAGTCTAACTCTTAACTCTTTCAAGACATTGAGTTTCTTAGTAAAGAATTAAGTGTAGTATAAGTGATACACTTGAAAAGGTTGGGGACAGATGATGCCCCTAGGCCTTATTGTACAGGATGGTTTAATTTTGAAGTTTTCCCAGAAAATCTGAGCCAGATAATGTTCATATCTTCTAGGAGGTTAGGGTAATTTCAGAATCTTCCCCAAGACATGGATTTCTTCCAAAACTTTGAAATTCTGTAAAGCCCTCCCCAAATTGGACTTAAATATTAGAACTGGATTGTTTATTTTGAAAGACATCCAAATTGAGTTAATCTGTCATTTTGCTAAATCACCAGGAACTGCTCAGTCAGGACTTAATCTGTCCTCAGGACACTGGGTCTGGTAAGAATCCAAAAAGCTTTGTTAGAGTGGGGAGCAGAAATCAATTAGTCCTTGCTAGCATATTCCTGTTTGTATTTTGGCTTTCATTTGTAAAGTACATAATGCATATCCAGGTAATTGCTTACTGAATTTTCTGTTGAGTATTATCTCTAATCATTACTGTATAATAAAGGGAAGAGTGAACATCTTATGGAGAAGGAAATTGTATTAATTTCTAAAAGTTAAAAAGACATAAATATCATGTATGTTAATTGTAAGAAACTGTAAGAAACCTAAGGATAAATCAGAAACTTCATCAACTCTTGTTTATTTCTTTCCCAAAGCATTCAAGAGACTTTTAAATCTGAGGATACATTTTTTTTTTCATTATCTTTTCTTTTCTCCAGGGTCAGTTATCACACTTATTCTTTCTGGGTTTTTTTTTTTTTTTCTTTTTTCCTTTCATGGCTTTGATTTTCCTCAATGCCTGGTAATCCTCAAATGAAGGACCATGTTAAATAGTGGCTAGGTGTCCTCTGTAGTTGAACAGTTCTTTTTAACCATACGAGCTCTCTCTAGAATGATCACTAGGTTTGGGTAAGTTGGTGAATCTCACACATTGGCAGACTTCCCTTTCAGGGTAAGTGGAAGGGAAAAAGCAGGCTCACTCTGTAATTGCCAAAATAAGGAAGATTTTACTTTTGGGGATAGAAGAACTTTAGTTTCTTTTGTCCCAGGTGAAACTGCCATTCCCTTTTTCGTCTGATTATATTGTAGCAGTTATCAACCATCTTCATAGATAAAACACCCACACTCTCTGTCTTTCCTTGAAAAGTACTGTATTTTGTTTAGAGAACAGTTCCTGAGGGTCCAGCTGAGGATTTTTTCAGCCAACTGCTCTGTGCATGCTCATGTGCATGACAGGGGTGGAAATGGAGTGAGTTTGTTGGTGTTCCAGGAATAGCTGTTTAGTAGATAGACCTTTAATTACACACCTTCTTGATTTGCCACAGCTAACCACAGTCCATGCCTGCTATTTGTATGTACTGACTCTGAGCAGGAAGTAAGATGTTCATTGGTTGGGAGAAGCATTCATAGATGGCAGGCAGGATTATTATTTGTTTTTATCAGATATTGCCAAGTTTTTCCCAAAGTAGTCATATCAAATTACATCATCAGTATTACCTGAGAGTTTCTATAGCTTTACATCTTTGTTGACATTTGACATTGTCAGGCCTTTTATTTCTGTCAATTTTTTAACTATGAAGTTACACCGCACTGAGATTTTAATTCAAATTTCCAGTGAGGTTGAAAACCTTTCATCTGGTTTTTTTTTTTTTTTTTTTTTTGATGTCAAGGTTGCGTCTCCTGTGAATAGCCTTATCCTTTGCCCATTTTAATAAGAGTTTTTTTCCCCTTTTTCCTATTGATCTTTAGTATTTCCTTTGTTTCTGCTTTTGAGGAACAGAAATAAAAATTATCAATACTTTTCTCTATTGTTTCTGCTTTTTGTTTGAAAAATTCTTCCCCATAGGCAAATGATGTAAAAATATTTTTTCTATATTGACTAACAAAAGTTTTGAAGTTGTATTTTACATTTAGGTGTTTCATCTATTTTGAATTGATTTTTGCCTGTGGTGTGAAGTTGAAATACAATTTTATTTTATTTTATTTTTTCTGATATGGATAACCAGTTGTCCCAGCACCGTTAACAATATCTCCCTTGGCAATATCTCCCTCTATGTAGCAATATCTCCCTTGGTAATACCTCCTTCTATCTAGCAACCTCACTGGAAATTTGAATTAAAATCTCAGTGTAATGTAATTTCATAGTTAAAAGATTGACAGAGATTAAAGGTTCTGACTATTCATATGCCAAGCAATGCAGCCGAAGGAAGGAAAAATTTTGCAAACCCTTTGTAATAGATGAAAGAAATTCTAAAGTAACAAGAAGCCATGTGCTGAACTCATGTTGGTGCTTTCTTTATCTTACAATATTAAAACGTACAGAATGGGTGTCAGAAGATTGGCAGAAAATTCTGAATATAAGAATGGAGCACGCGTTTAGGATGTACTGAATTGATGTTCTCAATGGCACAGAAGATGATATTATGTGAAAAGCATGGACATTATTAGTTGAAAAGTGATTCAGAAGTTTAACTCTAAATATGTAGACTTTTCCTCTATACTTTATTGGAGTATCAATTAGATACAGTAAAATGCATGATCTTAACTGTACAGTTCAATGATTGTTTTAATATGAGTACTTTCATGTGACTACCACTCAGATCAAGATATAAAACATTTCTATCCACCTCAGGAAGTTCCCTTGTACTCCTTTCTAGTCAATACCTTCCTCTGCCCTAGAGATATTCTGACTTCTGTGCCCTTGGATCAGTTTTGTCTGTTTTTTGTTTGTCTGGTTTTTAATTATACCTTTTTTTGAACTTTATATGATGTATATATGTAATGAGTATGTTCTCTTTTGTGTACTCAACATAATGTTTTGATATTCATCCATTTTGTTGTATCGGTACTTATTTTTTCATTGCTGAGTTGTATTCCATGGTAGAAATATAATACAATTTGCTTATTCATTTTTCTCTTCACAGACATCTTGGTTATTTCACAATTTGGGGCTCTTTACAAATAAAGTTATTATTGATATTCTTGTAGCCTTTTATTTATATATTTAATTTGGTGGACCTATGCCCTTCATTTATCCTAGGTAAATACCTAAGTGTCATTACTGAGCCATAGATTAGGTGGATGTTTACATTTATTAGAAACTGCCAAGAAGTTTTATGAAGTGATTGTACCATTTTACACTCCTACCAGCAATAGAGAATTCTAATTGTTCCATATCCTTGTCAACATTTAGCATTGTCAGTCTTTGTAATTTTAGCAATTCTATGATTCTCATTGTGGTTTTAATTTGCATTTGCTTGATGACTAATGATGTTGAACATCTTTCCAAGCATCTTTTCATCTTTCATGAGGTATGAGTTCAAGTGACTTTCCCTTTTTAAAAAATGGGTTATTTTTTTATCATTCTAGATTCAGGTCCTTTGTTTAATCTATGTATTGAGTATGTTTTCTCCATGGCTTGCCTTTTTACTTTCTTAGTAGTGTTTTTGATATGTAGAAGCTTTGAATTTTAGTGAAGTACGTTTTATCAGTTTTTCTTTTATTGTTAGTGTCTTTTGTGTCCTGTCTGAGAAATTGTTGCCTATTCCTCTGTCATGACTATGTTCTCCTATGTTTTTTTTCAGAATTTTTTTAGTTTTACCTTCCCATTTTATTCTGTGATCCATTTTTAATTAGCTTTGTGTATGTTGTAGGGTGGGGAATCATGGTTCATTTTTCCCACATAGGGATATCTATCTTCTTCATCACCTTTTATTGAAAAGTCCTTGCTTTTCCCACTGAATTGAACTGGTGTCTTTGTTGAAGTTGAGTGATAATCAAATGGATCTTTTACTGAACCTTCTTTTTTATTCCAGCTATTTGTCTACCATTATGCCAAAACCATGCTCTGGGTAACTACTCTAGCTTTATAGTAAGTGGAGATATTTTGGAAGTTCACTAAATTTATTTTGCATAACTTTTTATGTATACATATGAATGATATTTGGTTAAAAAATATTTTTTTGATAATAATGAAATAAAAATTC